CACATACTATATCTTACACATAAAGTACATGTACATACATATGATACATAAATTGTGTATATGTGTTCACTTGGAACCCTGAGAATTATAGAGATTCCGCCTTAATAAAGATCTGCTTTATCTTGAGGTTTCTCCATCATTCTTTTTGTAAATGAATGACTTTAGTATTTTTCCTATAAGTGTCAAAGTTTCCTAGAATTTTAGATTGAAACAGAGATTTATTGATGTAGGAATACTTCTGTGAATCTTGGTGGGAGCAGTTGTGGAGGACAGAGGGCATAAACACAGGAAACTCCTCACCTTCACCTCACCTTGCAGTGTTCAGATGACAGCACAGGATGGCTGGACTTCTAGTGGGATTGCTGTCCTTTGAATTCAGTGTTCTCCTGGCAATGACAGCTTGACTAATAAGTGAATCTGGAATTTAGGAAAAGAAATAGAGTAAATTTATCCTTCCTTTGTCCCTCCTTTTCTCTACCTCCATCCACCTCCATCCATCTCTCTCCCTACATCCTAGCTTTTCTTCTCTCTATCTCTCTCATTTTCCTTCTCTTACTTCTCAGGTAATCTATCAGGTTTAAACTATTCCACAACAGAAGTCTATTTCAAAATTAAATAATGATATCTACAATTCATTTTTCTAATTGGTCTAAAGAAAAAGCTCTATATTGTCTCTATAGTAGTTGAAAAAATGCTTTTAAAGGTTTCAGCAGCTACTCATGATATATCATCAGGCCAGAAATAATGAAAAATAGCTATTTGTTAAAAATGATCAGCAAAACTCTACAACAAACACTGTACTCATTAATATGCTATTTACCATTTTACCACTCAACTTCTATTAAAGACAAAAATGTCACAATCAGTTTCTGTATCCAGATTTATATTGAAATCCTCCAAATTATATTAGAAAAATTATCATCAAAACCAAAACCAAAAACAAACGGAAAAAATACAAAAGGCATGAAGCAGATAAATGAAGTGACAAAATGTCTTTATTTGCTGAAAAACTTTATGTAGAAAGTTTTTCAAAATCTTAAAATAAAATATATTAAATAATAACGTAATAGTGCCTTTGCCCATCTTTTGAATACCTGTTCATAATTAAAAGACAAATAAATATTAGGTATTTCCATAGCTATAGTTTGGACTTACTTTAGTATTTCAATTTCCAGCCCAGCACCAATAGCTGAAGCCTACAATCACATTTACTCAAAAATTTCAGACCTTGAGAACTGCTGTTCCAGGTAAGCATGGGCACATTTCCTATCTTATGTTTCTAGGACAGATCCTGCGAGTGGAAACATGAGGAAAGTAGCTGGGGCAGCCCTGCCTCACACTTCTGCTTCTTGGAGGTTTATGTTATGGCTTGTATTACTGTGGGTGGGTTATCATAATCCTGTTGACAGTAATAAGTGGCAATGTCTTCAGGCTGCAGGCTGCTGATGGAAAGAGTGAACTTTGTCCCAAGTCCACTGCCACTAAATCTAGAGGGGATTCCAAATTGTAACCTGTTTGCACCATAGATCAGGAGTTTAGGTGCTTTCCCTGGTTTCTGTTGGTACCAGCTTAACTCATTGCTAATATACTGACTGGCCTGACATTTGATGGTGACTGTGTCTCCAGGAGATGCAGACAGAGTGGATGGAGACTGGGTCATCTGGATGTCACATCTGGTACCTGGCATTGGAAAAGTAATAAGTACATACATGGAACCAATAAATCAATAAATAATACATAGAACCAAGCATGCTATAAGAAAGGTTCATTAATAGCCAAGTATCAGTGACTACAACACATGGAGGAAATCCTCATCATTGTCTTTCCTTACTTGGAATCCAGAGCAGCAGGAGACCCAGGAGCTGAGTGAGGGCCCTCATGTCCACGCTGTGTTCTGACTGAGACTGATGCCTGCATCTGGGGTGAACAGCCTATTAAGAAGGTATCAGGGTGGTGACTGTGCTGTGGGCTCATGCAAATCAGTAGGGGTTTGGATTTGTACAGCTGCAAATCTGAATCTCTTAGTAACTGGGCCTAGACCCCATCCTCGCTGTCTGTATCTCCACAGAGAAAGAGATTGCATCTGTTATCAAGCCAGTACAGATGCACCTGTAGAAATAACTTGAAGGAAATTTGGATATAGTTTTTTAATGTCACATTAGAAACAGTGATATTTCATCATTTGCAAGAAATGCAAGTACAGGGTTAGAATTATGTTTAATGAAGTAAAGCTTAGAGACATAAAGCACACATGATTTCTCTTATATGTAGAAGCTAGTTCAAATGTATTAAGGCATATATAAACACATAGAGGAGCATATGCAAAGGTAACAAATATATTAACCAAAGTATGGCATTTACATGGGAGAATTCCAATGATGTAACTCTTTAGATAAACTAACACAGTTCAATAAAATAAATACTGACACTTGAAAGATGTGGAGGCGAGGTCAAAGGGAGGAGTAGATGAATGTAGCAAGGAAAGTAGGGACATTGCAGTCATAAACTCCAATGCAGATCCTGTGAAACTAAGAAAGTTGAGGGCAGGTATTAAGGAGAATAATAAAAGGAGTGATGGTATGACAGCAGTCAAGCTGCATTGTACTTAGAAACTAAAAGTACTTTGTACTACTACTTAAAGATAATACTACTTAACATAATGAATAAGCTATTAAATTTTCTGACCTTTTGTAAAGAAGAATGCTCACTTTTTGCTGCTGGGAAGGTGGCTCAGTGGTAGAGCGCTTGTCTTGCATGCCTGAGGCCTGGGTTCAATTCCTCAGCAACACATAAGCAAAAAGAAAAAAGCCGGAAGTGGTACTGTGGCTCAGGTGGTAGAGCGCTAGCCTTGACCTGAATAGCTGAGGGACAGCGCCCAGGCCCAGAGTTCAGGTCCCACAACCAGACCCCCCCCCAAAAAAAATAAAGAATGCTCAATTTGCAGAAGATATTTAATCCACAATATGTCATATGAAAATCAACACATGAAAGAAATGGCTGTTCAGTGTGTTTTATACCATTTGAGCTTCCAGAAACACCTTCATTACTGCTTAATGATCCAATACTTCAAATATGGAAAGGGATTCTTATAAAAGAATGGAGGGATTTTTATGTTAACATCATACATCTGTATCTGTGTTCTTATCTCAAGACTGGCAACAGAAGCCTCTACCTTCCCAACTTCCTCCTCTAATCAGGCTGCATGCTCTGACTGAGCCTCTTTTACACAGATCTTTTTTAAAGGCCTCTAGCTAGTGGTGCTGAAAAGGACAGACCATGTCAATCATGAGAGATTTTCTTCCATTTATTTTGAAGAGTCTCTGTGAGTGAAATTGCAATTAAGGCATCAAACAGAGACTTACCTTTCAACTCAATTGTGGGCAGGGCAGACCCTGAATATCTCCTTACTAAGTATGACTCCTCATTCTGGTTCTAGTTCATTGTACACAAGGCACCAGGACTTGCACCCTGAGTGGCTCTGTGGTCACATGCAGGAAATTGCACCATCTTCCACTCTTCCTCAGTGCTTCCCTTTCACCTGCTGCTTCTGCACAAAAACAAGATGAGATCTGTTAGATGTGGAGATCTGTTAGCTCCCCAGAAGCCCGGGGAAATTAAGCTCCCAGGGCTGTGAGAACTGTTCCTGACATGGGCATGAATGACCTAGTCCAGCACTCCATACAGGCTATATAGGCACTCCTAATTCTCAATGTTCCAAACCCAATAAAAAAAATTCACCCACCACAATATGTTATCTTAGAATAGTCATCATTTCAAAATAAACATATACTGTATAAATTAATTTTTAATTTATCCTATAACAACTATGTAGATGAAAAGATCTGAATATTGGATAGAAACATTGGATAAAAATGATTCTTTTAAG